ATCCATACTTGTCTATCCTGGACCACCGGAACACTCCAACACAGGGAATGGAGTCAAGCCCCGCTCAGCGGTTGATGAACAGCCAAACGAAGACTCTTCTGTCAACCACAAGAGAGCTGTTGAAACCACATTCAGTGGTACCTGACACAGAAATAACTGCCCTCAAGAAGCCCCAAGAAAAGCAAGCACAACACTACAATAAGTCTGCCAAAGAGCTAGAACCGCTAGCTACTGGGGACGTAGTGAGAATGAAGCCCTTTGTAGCTGGAAAGAAGACCTGGGAGAAAGCAATGGTCAAAGAGCGACCTGATGAAAGGTTGTACACCGTTGAAACTGACAATGGCGACACGTACCGCAGAAACAGATTTCACGTGAGGAAAACCAAGGAACCAATGGACAACACCAGTGCTCCAGTGGAACAGCCTCAGGGACAGACCAGCCCACTGCTGGACACCCTACAGCTCAGGTCCAGGGAGATTCAACGAGCCACAGAGAATGCAGTCCAGCAAGCAGAAACACCTGGTGCAATTCCTGACGGTGTACAACACAAGGCCATCCCTGATCACACTTCAACCTGCCGGCGACGTGTGACTAAACCACCAGCGTGTTTGAAGGACTATGTCCGTTAAGAGCATACGGAACATTAACAAAAAAAAAAAGAATGATTCAAACTTTGATTTTATTTCTGATTTAAGTTCGAGATAGGAACAGAAGCCGTTCAATGATTGCTCGCTCAAAAAAGGGAGGATGTTGTGTTATGTTACAATTACACGCGATCACTAGAGGCTAGATACAGCATGAACAATTGACAATAAGACATTGATTGAGAGTCACGTGGTTAGTTCTGTTGAGATCTTGTAGAGTCTTATGCTAGAATGAAGAAATAAAATCGAGTTATCTGGTGACTCCTGCTAGCAGTTTGTGGATAACTTAACATGGAACGCCCTTCCAGATGAGTTGAGAGCTTTGGGCAGTCTCAAAACTTTTGTGTCACAGCTAAAAACTAATCTTTTTAAATTGGCTTTTACCTTAAGACTTATGGTATTTTAACATAGATTTTTGCATGCACACACACATTTATATAATATCTTTATTTAGTATCCATTTATTAACTATTTAGATAAGCTGTGATTTTTTTATCCATTTCATTATAACATTATAAGCATGTACCCATGTTTTATGTGCTATATAAATAATAATTATTAATCTATTATCTGAAAACTTTAGAAAAAAATCTTGTTCATTCATAACCCCATACTTTTTAATCTTTCCTTAAACTCTTACTGCAACTATCTTGTACTTGTCTGTCAATAATCACCCTGACAAAATACATATAACTTATCAAATTCTTTCAGTTTATTTGTAGATCAATTTAAGAAATTAAAGAACCATTGCTAGTAATGATTCAGAATTTATCTACTTTCAACTTGCAACTCAATTTGATTGGCAATCTATGACACCAATCACCAGCCATGGTAGGCGGAATTTTTTTCCCACAGTCCATAAATCTTGAGCGATTTCTAAGTTTTGCTTCAGTTTAACTTTTATCTTGAAATCCATTGCATACGAAGAGTGGCATGCTTTTAGCATGACGATAAAAATAACAGCAACAAAAGAGATACTTGATTGAAACGTTTGTCAGGTTACAGTAACTGAGAGTATTGTTGTGTTTCTGCTGTCGCATGGTAGTATTTACATCTTCACTGATTCACTTTTTTCCTTTTGTGTTTATTCTAATTCATTAACTTTTGTGTTCAGTGAGCCATTTCCCAATGTTTTTTGTGAGGCTTGCTCACTCAAATGGCGAGTTACAATCAAGAGTTTTGCTCTCAGCTTATAGCCGATGGTTTTGCTTTTCTTTTTGGACAACACAAGTCTGTTAGGAAGTCTCTAACTTTTAGGGTCTGGCCTTATAGCTGAGATCGGCTTATTAGTGAAGAAATACGTTAAGTTTCAATTAATGTAGTTTACAATTAAATTCAATCACAACTACAATCAGACAAGAAAAGTGATTACCATAGATAGTCTATTGCTCTGGTTTCACAAAACCAGAGCAATATTCATGCACCTTTCAGAAATTTTTATGCCCACTTTAAATATTATTTATTCCTTCTAATGCACTCCTTCTGTTAATGACTTCTTTTCCCAAAGTTTGCTGCATCAAACTCTGAAAAAGTTTCAACAATGTCCGATGAAAATGATGTTGAAGATCAATAAACAGGTAAGATTCTGCTTCATTATCTTTCCAGGATACTCTTCTATACCATTATACACTGAGCTTCATAGATCCATAACACTGATATACAAACATTTATATTTAAGAACATCAGTACATTCCATTTATTTTATTTTACATTCCATTTTTTATTCTTCCAAGGCAAAACAAAGCCAATGAAGAGAAAAATGACTTAGCTTGATCTGCCAAATTTATTTACTATCAATCATGATGTCTGATTATAAGTAACTGAAAACTAATATTAGTAACTAAACTAATGATATGATTGTGTAAACTAATGATATGATTGTGTAAACTAATGATATTATTGTGGGTGTCATTTATAAACCCCAAATTTTTCAAACCCAGAATTTTTAGACAAACTTGAAACGTTGTTTTTCCCTCTAAGAAAAATGCATTTTAATAGGTGATACTAATATAAATACTCTTACAAAAACGAGTGTCTCTAAGGAATATATTAATTTAATACAGTTAGTGTAAGATTCAAACGTGCATGACTGGTCACATAAGTGCGTTACTCTGGATTTAAATGTTAACCTTAATCTTCATGTGACTCTTTTGATTACGCCTTTAAGTTCTCGTTTTTCAGTGTATTATATATTCAGTGTTGGCTTTCATCACGGCAAGATCTTGTTTTCAAATCATCATTTATTTTACTCGACCCATTCACATTGATAGGAGGAAATATCTGTAAGCCGTTAGTCTTTTTTTTGTTTTCATTTAGTTTGTCAATTTTCTTAGATCTATTAAAATTTATAGCCGTACTTTCTCCTTTTAGTCGAACCATCATTTCATCTTTTCATCGATTACATAAGTTACATTATTTACATCATTTTTACCTCATCTTCAACGTAATCGGATGCATTCAATTTACTCGATTGATTGTGAATGTAGAATAAATTTCCTTTTTAAACTCATCTCTTGGTTGGAGTCTACATTAGTTCGAAGATATCGGCTTCAACTTCACCAAGGCTCAGCCTAAAGAGAGTTATGGCCACGAGTTCATGCGATGACCTTTCGACCACACACAATCACAACAGGAGCCCCAACGTGACTCAAAAACTCCCTACAACTTCGTAGAAATAGAAGTGCTGCGAAGGCAAATGTCACAAAGAAAATAAAAGTGACAGAATGCATGTCTAACTCCAGAGACGTCGCTGATGTTGAGTCAAAAGCAAAAGAATTTCTTGAAACAGCAATACATTTCCAAGGCGTTCACAGTACATACCACACCCCCCTTGATGACGAATTCGGGATCCAAGATTCAAATGACTACTTCAATAGTGAAGCTCAGAAAATAGAAAATTTTCAACAAATACTCGACAAGTGGTTCACTCGAGCTAATAAAGAACTTTACGAGAATGCAGACAGCGAAATCGTAAAGCCACACGATTCCGTTAGCAACGCTGGAACAAGATCTCGCACACGATCAAATCAGTCAAAGTCCTCGTTATATGGGTCACGTGGTGGATCATCGGCCTTTAGCCCTAAAACAATCGCTACCGCAAAAAAGACATCATTAGCTGCTGAAGCAGCAGCATTATGCAAGCAACAAACTCTGCAAGAAGAGGAATTATGATTAAAGCACAAAGCGCTTAAATACCAACAGCAACAAGAGGAAGCTAAATTACGCCTCGCACAGCGAAAACAGCAACTCCAACTTGAAATTCAGATCGCCAAGTTAGACTCTGAAGAACAAGTATATGCCATAGCGGAACAAGGAGATCAGTAAGTTGAACTGCCATCATATGCTCGTACCCAGGACTTCACAACTTCTCCACCCCTTGGACAGCCACGCCTACCAGCTCTACAAAAGAAGGAACCTTGCCCTTCACCACCAACATGGGGAATGCTTGATCTGCAGTCAGAACTCCCACAAGCTTCTTATGATCATTTGCTAAACAAGCGCCAAACGGCAAAATTACCTGCTGAAATCCATCAGGCAAATCCAGTGGTTACTCAACCTGATGGGAAGATTCACCCCCTTTCACCTCATGCGACCCCATGGCTCCCAGAAAATCTCCCAAAGCTTGGACTCAGTGAGCGTTGTCCGGATCCCAATGAAGTCAAGAAGGACCAAAGTCCATCCCCAAGGCATTCAGCAGTTGTAGAGAAATTCATACAGGATATGATAGACATACAGCGGCAGCAGCAACGCCACAATGAGCAACTCATGCACATGCAGCAATACTGTGATCAACAGTTGCAACAGCTACTACGGCAACATCAGCATCTCTCCTTAACACTGACTCTACCCCACACTGAAGTTCAGACCTTTGATGAAGATCCTGTTAACTATTGCACTTTCATCTGCTCCTTCGAAAATTTGATTGAAGCCAAGATGAAAAACAGCATTACAAGACTATACTTCCTTGTGTAGTACACTTTCGGTGACGTGCAAGAGCTCACGCGAAGCTGTTTGTCAATGCAACCAGAAGAAGGTTACAAGGAAGCATGGCGGCTTTTGAAAGCAAGATATGGCCAGAATTACAAAATCACCACCGCCTATGTCAGTCGAGTTACAAATGGGCCTCCGATAAGGCACAAAGATGGCCAGGCATTACAGAAGTTTTCTGTTTTTCTCACAAGCTGCAAGAACACCTTAAAGGAGATTGGTTGCCTTAATAAGGTCGAGAATCCAGACAGCTTACAGAGGGTGATTGAAAGGCTTCCCTTTCAACTAAGGCAAAGATGGCACAATGCAGCTGATGACATCACCAGTAACAAGCAGAGAGAAATAACGTTCGAGGACATTGTGAGATTCATGGAGTCAAAGGCCAGGGCCTTGAATAACCCAATATTTGGAAACGTCACCAGCGATCTAAAAAGCAAAGGAAAGGATCCCAAGAATCATAAGCCACGAAAGGGCGAAAACTTTGGTATTCAGGGAGATCTACCCAACAATAGTGTCTTCTATGGTAATAAGAATTCTCCAGCGGGAGCTGATCTGGCAAAGCCTACACCTAAATGCCATTTATGCAACAGCGACCACTGGTTGACCCACTGTCATGAGTTCAAGAAACAGTCTGTGGATCAGAGACTAACCTTTGTGTGGCTTGTTTTCTGTCTGGTCACACTGTTCAATCCTGCCCAAAGAGTGGTTACTGCAAGATCCCCAATTGTCATACAAAGCACTTGACGTTCTTGTATCCAAAGGTACCAAATCGTTACATTGGGAACCCTCCTTCAAATGAGAACAGCAAAGGCGACAGAAGACCGGCTGAAGTCAACAATGGCAATGCGAATAATGGCTACGTAAACAGCGATAGTTGTTGTGATTTAACTGGGGCCGGCCTCTCAACAATTGTTCTTCCCATTGCTCCTGTAAGGGTTAAAGCCAGTGGTTCAGACGCCTCTGTGTAGACTTATGCCTTCTTGGATGGGGGAATCAAACACTACGTTCTGCACCATCAACTTATGGAAAAGCTAGCTGTCAATGGTAAGAAAACTTCACTCTTGTTGATTACCTTGGAGAAGCAGAATAGCATGACTGAATGCCAGGTCTTCAAGCTGGAAGTGTTCGACTTGGAGGAGCACAATTTCGTTGAGCTCCCCACCGTCTTCTCAACCCCAAAACTACTGGTTAGTGAGGAAAGCATCCCACAACAAGAGGATGTCAACATGTACCCTCACCTCAAAGGTATCCAGCTTCCCAAGATTGATGCTGATTAGAAACGACGTTGCGAAAGCCCTAGAGCCTAAAGAAATGAGAGGGTGCAAAGACCAAGGCCCATATGCAGTGTGAACCATGTTTGGGTGGACGATCAACGGTCCTTTGGAACGGAAAGGAAATTATTGTCACACCAGAACTTCATCAAAGCCGACAACAAACTTAGCCAACAGTTTGCAAAGTTCTGCGACCTGGAGTTCAGTGACTTGGCCTATAGCAATGACCCAGGAATGTCAAAGGAAGACTTACGCACTCTGAGCATCATGGAGCAGTCTGTAACTCTTAAGGAAGGACATTACGAAATAGCCTTACCTAGGAGGAACACCCCACCTTACCTTCTGAACAACTGACCATTAGTGGAACACCGCTTGAAGCCGTTACAAAGGTGATTGTTAAAGGATCAAGAGCTCTCAAAGTAGTCTTTGTTCATAGACGACCTGGTAAGGAATGGCCATGCCCGCAAGGTACCACGGGACTGGCTGGATCATCCTATTGGAGCTTTGTGGTATCTACCTTACCATCCTGTTCTTAATCCAAACAAGCCAGACAAAATCCTAGTCGTGTTTGACTGCGCAGCAAAACACCAGGGAACATCACTGAACGACCAACTCCTCCAGGGGCCTGACCTAATGAACAACTTGGTTGGTGTCCTGACGCGCTTTTGACAGGAGCCCGTCGCACCCATGGCCAATGTAGGGTCGATGTTCCACCAGGTACATGTCAGCCCTCGGGATTGTGATGCCCTACGGTTTCTCTGGTGGTCAAATAATGATTTGAACAGCAAGCCAGAAGAATATCAGATGATGGTACATCTCTTCAGTGCCACATCATCACCAAGCTGTGCAAACTTCAGTCTTCGGTGAACTGCAAAGGACAACCAACAAGAATTCAGCAAGGATGCAGTCGACAGTGTCAAAAACAACTTCTACGTCGACGACTCCCTCAAATCAGTCCCATCTGCAAATGAAGCCATTGTATTAGTGGACAAGCTCTGCCTACTTCTCTCTAAACGAGGATTCCGCTTGACTAAATGGATTTCTAACTTATGAAACGTCATCAAGTTCATCCCAATGTCCGAGAGGGCAGGATCTGTGAAGGATCTTCTCCTCGATCAGCTGCCAATCGAGCGGGCCTGTTCTGTCACGCGTGTCACGCGTGTCACGCGTCTAGCGTTACCACACAGTTTAGCATTGTAGCAAGGTATCATGGTATTGATTTTCCATGTGATTTAGGGATTGTCATTGCATTCTCGTGCTCGCTGGTGAAAACCCTTTCTCGTTTCACCGCGAAAATTTACTTTGAATAAATCTGGTTACACTGACTGATGAAGGATTTACGTCTCTTTTGTTACGGTGAGCAAACTTATGGATCAGGGTCCAAAGGATCAGAACAGGGCCCTAGGAGTAAGATGGAATGTAGAGTCCGATACCTTTGGCTTCAAGATAAGCATGAAAGACAGGCCCCGACAAGACGAGGAATCCTATCCTTGGTCAGCTCCATGTACGATCTGTTAGGGTTTGCAGCTCCATTCACCTTGCCAGCAAAGGCGCTACTACAAGACCTATGCGGCCAGAATCTGGGGTAGGATGACCCTATACCAGCCGAGGAACTCGCTCACTGGAGGAACTGGCTTGATGAGCTACCCAAGCTCAAAAACCTCAAGGTCAACTGTTGTTTTATGCCAAACGACTTTGGAAAGGTTAGCTCCAGTCAGTTGCACCATTTTCCAGATGCCTCCCAGCATGCATATGGCACTGTCACTTACCTCCATGTCACCAATCCTGAAGGTGATGTCCATTGTTGCTTTGTCATTGGCGAATCTCTCTGTTGTTTTAAGCCAAACGACTTTGGAAAGGTTAGCTCCAGTCAGTTGCACCATTTTCCAGATGCCTCCCAGCATGCATATGGCACTGTCACTTACCTCCGTGTCACCAATCCTGAAGGTGATGTCCATTGTTCCTTTGTCATTGGCGAATCTCGCTTATCTCTGCTAAAGCATTTGACAATTCCTCACCTCGAGCTCTCAGCAGCTGTGGTAGCATTGGCATACCAATCAGTGAGTCTATCTTCTGGACAGACAGCACCTGCATTTTGGGTTACATTGCCAACAAAGACAAACAGTTTCATACTTTCGTAGCAAATTGTGTCACAGCAATACAAGGAGCTACATCTTCTTCTCAGTGGAAACACACTGGCACAAAGCAAAACCCAGCAGATGGTGCTTCGTGCGGCCTCTTGGCCGAAGCCTTGCTGAAGGGTGAATGTTGGCTAACAAGACCAGACTTCCTTTGGAAATCTGAAAGGTTCTGGCCAAGTCAACAGTTTACAGACTGTACAGTCACAGATAACGACCCGGAGGTCAAGAAAGAATCACAAGTGTTTTCTGCAAACATAGAAGTAGGAGTTACAACAATCAAAAAGCTCTTCGGACGCTTTTCTTCATTGTACCGCTTAAAGAAGTTTGTGGCTTGGATTCTTCGTTACCGAACTAACTTACAAAGAGCAGTTCAACAGTGGAAATCAGAATCCACGCTCCCCGATAAGACAGCCAGGATAGACCCTCTCCCCGTTGAGGAAATGAACAAGGCCGAAAGGGAGATTCTAAGACACATGCCGAGAGAGAGCTTCAAAGAAGAGATTGCAATTCTACAAGCCACAGGTTCTGGAGTTGGAAAAAGAGACGTCGCCAGAACAAGAAAATGTCAAGTTAAGAAGTTGAGCAGAGTCTCCAAACACGACCCATGGTTGATGGGTGGCCGGCTACATGTAGGAGGACGGCTTGAAAATGCCCCCCTTCAATTAGACGCTAAACATCCCATAATTCTGCCAACTTCACATCAAGTTGTCCGTTTAATTATCAGCTACTACCATTACACATCTGGGCACTCTGGTACAGAACATGTGCTATCCATTATCAGAGAAAAGTTTGGATCGTTAAGGCAAGAGCTACAGTAAGGAAGTTCCTCAACGCCTGTTTCGACTGCAGAAGGAGAAATGCTCCAGTCGGAGAGCAAAAGATAGCAAACCTGCCTAAGGATAGAATCACTCCAGACAAACCCTCCTCCAGTTACATCGGAGTCGACTGTTTTGGTCAATTTCTGGTTTGTCACGGGAGGAGTAAAGTCAAGAGATACCGCGTGCTGTTTACTTGCCTAACCACACGTGTGATCCACATTGAGTTAGTCTACAGCCTGGACACAGACTCCTTCATCAACAGCATGCATCGTTTCATCGCCAGAAGAGGAGAGCCAGAGCAGAGGAGATCAGATAATGGCAGAAATTTTGTACGAGGCAAGAAGGAGCTCCTGGAACCAGGAAGTGATCACAGAATTCCTCCTCCAACAAAGCGTTCAGTGGATTTTCAACCCCCCTGCAGGCTCTCACCACGGTGGCGTATGGGAATGTTGCATTCGCACTATGCGAAAGGTGATGAATGCTCTTCTGAGGGAACAAGTCCTTGAAGATGAAGGACTCGAAACACTTATTTGCGAGGTGGAAAATATAGTCAATGGCAGACCCCTAACAAAGGTGTCCGACGACCTACGAGACCTTGAAGCCCTTATGCCAAATCACCTTCTACTACTGCAGTCAGGTTCTACACTGCCTCCAGGGAATTTTAGAAAAGGAGATCTCTATGTCCATCGGAAGTGGCGCCAAATACTGTAATTTCTGGTCGATTACCTGCAGGTAATCTGTTGATTTTGCATTAAACGCATCCCACTACAGGTAATAGGGAGGTGCGGGTTATGTGACAATTTTAAATTCTTCTGGAAGTTGAATTGAAAAAATTTCTCACCTACCTGCATTTCCACCTCTCAAATGAATTTTATTGTATCAAAAGTGCCACAAAGCGGCACAAAAACATGATGCCAACTCGAGTTTATTTCATGCATAATTAGTTGCGTGACAAACAAATTTTTATCGGCATGCATGAAAACAAAACCTTGATGGTGACAAAAATAATCCAAGGATATCCGGCGCATCAGTAACAAATTTCCAGTTTTCACCTGCTTGAGCTAAAGAGAATTTTCCCGTTTTAAGCGACTTGTTATGCCCAGTAGAACAGGAGATATCGAGTTTTTTGAGAAATTGCAGACAGTAATTTTAAATCCCACACACATCACCAGAATGTTGAAAATAATAGGTGCGAAACTTAACTAATTTCGCACTGAAAAAGTATTTTAACAACAAATGAACAATGGATATAGCTCATTACGCTCCTACATGCTATAAAAAGGTAACTGACTGAATAATAATTATAAACCTCGGTCATTCGCAATAAGTGTATCCACGAGTCACCAATTAAGTTAAAATGCCTGCTGTGAAACACCCACGTCAAAGTTTGCATTTGATTATAAGCTTAGAGTAATAGCTCGTGCCGATGAAATTAGTAATAGAGCAGCAGCAAGAGAATTTGAAATTGATGAATCCATGATCTGTTACTGGCGAAAGAAAAAGAGTGTCATGGCAAAACTACCAAAACGTCAGTGCAATTGCTGGACTGGTATCACAAAGTTTCCCGCACTGGAAAATACCTTGAAGGAGTGGATTGTCGGCCAAAGAGAAAATAGCCGTGCTGTGGTGGGCCAGAAACTGCCTGATGACTGGGAGGAGAAGGTTGCGAACTTTCACCAGTTTGTTTTGCAAAGAAAGGAGGAGCTTGGAATCCAAGGAGATCATGTCTTCAACATGGATGAAGTTCCAATGTCATTTGATGCTCCTTTTTCCAGAACTGTTGATGCAACCGGAGCTCAAACTATTCCTGTTTGGATGGATGGACAGAGATGGACAGAGATGGAATGGCTGTCTGGGGTGAGAAAGTTTGGCGTGCCAGACCAGTGTCCTTCTTTAATAGAACTTCGCTACTTATCTTTGACAGTGTCAGCACACACATCGATGAAGGCATTCGAAACAATTACAGAACGGAGCACAAAACAACCACCGCAGTAATTCCTAGAGGCCTTACAAAAAAGTTACAACCATTGGACATTTCTGTGAACCA